GTAGTTTGGGAACCTCGTTAAATCGCCTGTTCGTTCCCATTTCTGCATCTCCTTTACAACTTCTCTGTTTGGTCTCCAGTCTCTGTTTTGTGGTTCTGTCCAGCTTCCTGATCGACTGTGGAAGGAAGAAGACGAGAACCGAAATCCCTTGTCTCATTTTACGTTTGGGCCTTGTGCCTTTTAAAGCCTGGTTCTCATTTAAGTGATTTAGTTAATTTTATTAGTTGGGCCGTTATTCTTCTTCTAGCCCATTAAGGAGATTAACTCAGTGGTAGGGGTGAACAAACACACCCGCAAACCGACCCACCCGTCCAACCCGATCCAACCCACCCGTATTTATCGCTAAATCGAAGGTTTTGGGTTGGGTGAGGGTTTTCTTTTGTACAACCCGCCTCTTTTGGGTTGGGTTTGGATTTTGGATTACACAACCCGTAGAACCCGACCCAACCCGTGTTCCAATTATTGGTATGAGTCCGTATCCAAAAAAATATTTATGTCGTATTTAATCATACTTATGAGAAAATTAAGATATTTCGCCATGTTTTTCTCTTAAAGTCTCACTAATCTAATGCATTCTTCGACTTAAAGTTTAGACATATATTTAATATAGCTATGATTCACGTAATTTTTTTTTTCTTGTGTACAATTTTAAAAGAATATCATATTATGGATGCGTTCATTTGTAACCTTTTTAGCCTATTTCAACAAATATCGTGAAAAATACTAGACATAAGTTGAAGTAAATCAAGTTTTATTAAAATTAAAACAATATTTGTGAATTTTGATACTTTTCACCTCGGTTTATTCGTTTGAATTTTTAATTTGTTATAAAATATTTTATGATGTAGAATAATTACATATTTTGTGTTGGGTTGGGTTTTTACTTAAAAATATCGCCAACCCGACCCAACCCAATTAGAAACAAACCGTAGGGTTTAGATTTTTTTGGGTGAGTTTGGGTTTAATATTTCCCAAACCGTAGTGCATGGGTCGGGTGATTAAAATGCTTAAACCCGAACCACCCGACCCATGTACACCCCTACTCAGTGGAAGACCTTTCCAAAGAACCAGATCGACTACCATCGATCTTTGTCTTCCTCTGTATCTGTTTATTTTCTTCCATTTTCAATTATGGTCAAAATCCCTAACTTCGTTCTCTGACTCGTTTTCAACACATTGGTACCGAGTTGGAGTTTGGCAATGAGCTGCCTCGACTTGAAGAGGTTACATTTGGTGGGTAAGGATTTAGTGAAATACCCCAATATGTCCATTGGTCTCAAATTCAATTCACCAAGTTCACCTCTAGACTAAATCGTCTTGGGCTTCATCTTAGTGATTGTGGGTGCCCTGGTTTGATTGTGTTATCCTATTGAGCGTTTTTTGCAGCAACCTCTATATTTTCCACACATTTTTGTGCTGATATTGTGAGTGACCAGCTATTGACCTTGTTCTTTTGTGTGGGTTGAGCAGGCTAGTCTAGATTAGCTAGTGCCTAGTGTTGCTATTTCTATGCATCCTCATTGATTAATCTGTATCTCACTCTTATCAGAAAGATAATCCATATCCTAGGGAAGGCTTTGCACTGTTAGCAACAACAAAGATGATTGTTGTAAGACACTAATATTTCTGTAGTTCATGTTGTCCTGTTATCCTTGTAATTTACTAATTTTTACTAGTTTAAATTTATAATAATTTAATCAATTTCCAGTCAATTTATTAAAATTTGACAGTTTGGCCTTGACCAGCCAAACATTATCTGGTACATGGAATAATCCAACCAATCATGACCATATTCGTGTGCTTGGGTGTGTTACATTAGTTTTAGATTGGATATTTTGATTACCCTCAATGTTAGTTAGGGTGAGACTGACACACAAAATGACCCTAATTTGACTACTTAATCCAAATTTAAATGACAAATATAACTGAAATGGGTAAATTGCAAGTTTGGTCACTGAAATTTTTTAAAAAGTTCACGTTTGTCACTAAAAATTAGTTTATTCCATCTGTAGTCACTAAAATTAGTTCAACAATTCAAGTTTGGTCACTCTCCGTTAGTCTCCGTTAATTTTAGCTGATGTGACAGTCAACTTTGAGAATTGACTGCTAAATAAGTGACGTGACAATTAAAAAATAAAAAAATTATTCTTTTAAAAATTCTACCTCATTATCTCAACAAATAATAAAATAAATTTCTTTCTTTCTTTCATACCTTCCTCTCTTCTTTTTCTTACTTATCCTCCCACTCTCCACCCAATTCTACACGAACAAGATCCGCGTCCTGCCGACCCAAGCCGAGGCCAAGCTCCGACACCGTCAATCTCCGTCACAGCCACCGCTGAATATGATAGGTTTTTATTCCCTAATCGGCTAAACCCAATTCCATCCCGAGCATCAACCCTCTTTCTTCAGGCGAGCTTCTTTCCGTCAATCCCTCTGCTGCACATCCTCCCGATCCCGGCTTCACCGCCTGAAGAACCTTCTTCTCCCTACTTTTCTAGTTCAGGAATGGAGCCTCGTACGACTGTCCGGAGGGGAGTCAGAGGCAGCGAAAGGGAAGGGAAAGGCGATGGCTAAGCTGGAATCCCCATCTTAGCATCCGATCTTTGGTAAAGCTATTGGTATATCCCAAATTGGAAGCTGCGGCCGCTAGTTTCTCAATGTCGAAAATCCAAAGCTCGTTGAGATTTGCCGCATTCCAATCCCTCGCTTGCTGCCGCCTGACGACTCTCCACCAATCCAAAGGGCGATTGAATGATTACCCTGGAAGTGCTTGCCAACATTGCGGAAGATGCGATTCCCGGACGGTCATAGCCCTGGAGGGATAAGAAATGGAGGAGATCCAAATCGTTCATCTTCGATTATCTCTTTGCTGCTCTGTCTTTCCATTGATTTCAGCTCCCTGCCAGCGATTCCCCTCTCCAACGACCGCCACAGTTCTCCTCTTAGTCGTCGCAGGAGCTTTGGAGGGCGTCGGAGGTCTTCTTCAATTCTCTCCTGTGTGCTCTGTGGGTTTCGATTCAGAGAAGAAAGAGGGGTTAACGGCGGCAGAGAAGATGTTGGGTTTGACGGCAGCGGAGAAGGAGGGGTGGACGAGGATCTTTGGATTTCCCAGGCCGGTGGCGGGTGATTATAATTAAAAAGATCATAATTAATTTTTAGTTTTATTGTTAAACTGAGGTGGAAATTAGTTTTATTGTTAAACTGAGGGGGAAATTGAGATTGTCATTATGCATGTATTGTTTACAATGCATCATTTTTTTTTGTTTTTTTAGCAGAAACAATACATGGATTGTTTCTGTGATGTGACAGAAACTATCACTCATTTTGAGTGATTGTTATATCTCAACTTTTAGTTGTGATTGTTGAGATAGTTGAGTTGAGATTGTTTTGTCTCAGCTTTTAACTGATGCGACATACACAATCACACATACCAAACGTTGTATTCTACAATGCATCAAATTCGACAATACATGTATAATATTATACATGCATTCTCAACAATACATCTATTTAACAATCGCAACTTCCAAACGACCCTAAAAATACTATTTTTTATTTTTATTTTTTAATTGTCACATCACTTATTTAACGGTCAACTATCAGAGTTGACCTCCACATTAGCTAAAGTTAACGGAGAGTGACCAAACTTGAACTGTGGAACTAATCTTAGTGACTACGGATGGAATAGATTAATTTTCGTGGCCCACGTGAACTTTGTAAGTAATTCCAGTGACCAAACTTGCAATTTACCCTATCTGAAATTGAAGCTCAGTAACCATCCTCTCAATAAACCCAAACTTCAACGACCATTTCTACATCTTCTACACTACTTATAATCTACTCTAATTATAATACGCCGTAGCCTAAAACTGAAGCCCCATTTTGAAATTGCTGCCTCCGGAGCGTTTGTCGGAGGGATACTTTGGAAAAAAAATTGCTCACGTCGCTGAACGGGCCCACTGAGGCCCACTTAGTCTAAACTAACCTTCGTGTCCCCCAACTGTTCCCAACTCTACTTCCTTCGCCGGTGCCTGGCTCCCGCATCAACGAAGCTGCAAATCCCATCCTAATTCCACTGGTCGTAAAACTTCCATCGAACACCGACCAGTTTTTGTTCTCCGATGTAGACTGATATCAAGCTCACCGCCACTTCGCCAATCTTTACCCAAGCCACAATTATCTGTTGCCCAAAATGTTCGCTGTACCATGGTGACCAAGGGTTTACATGGCCGGAGATCCCGTCGAATCAGAGAGGATGGGAAAGATAAAGGTATATCAATGGTCTCCTCCGCCGTCAGTTCCAATCGATTCCACTCCACCTATTCTGATCAAATTTTTATGTCGCTCTGCCTTTTCTGATGAAGTATAGATGGCCACGACCTTTTCTTGTCTAGAGTTGCATAGCCAGATGAATGCAGCCCCCTATTCTAGGTAATAAACAATGAACTCTTTATTATACTCGATCATTTTATTGTCATGGATTCATGACGTCATCGACGTTCATCCCCATAGTGCAACATCAGTAGGGACTGAAGAGCTAAAGATCCTACAGAACGAAGAGGAACATAGATTTGAAGTTGTTTTGGGGTCTTCCACTGATGAAGATTTCGATGGTTGAAGCGAGATTTTAAACGGAGGGGGGTTTTGTTGGAGGTCAAGAAGAAAATATTGCAGGCTAAACTTGAAGGTAGAACAATATTTGAAGGTAAAATCTTTATGAAAAATATGGTGGATGCTACCAATGGATTTGATGATTTGGATGAGCCCTCTCTCAAGGTTTAAGTAACAGATGGTGCCGAACTGATCTAAATCTTTATATTTTTCGATTGTGTTTTGTATTAATAATTCGGGGTTGTTGGCAAGGTTCTTCTCGAACTCAATTGCTGCCATCAAGTAAATCTATTTGCCTTTAATTTTTGGCTTATGATATAATTATAACCTGTGTTCATCATCACTAATGCAGGGTGTTCGGTATATAATGCAAGGAGGAGTCTGAGGGCATCATGGGGGAAAAGAAAGCGTGGAACTATTCATTCGAGCTTCTCTATGGTTTTGTCGGATTGTGGTTAGGACGTTTTGTCAAAATTGCCTTTCATTCTTCTATGCTTTCTCTCTCTGCATAGGGTTCATGTGTGGTTTCTTGGTCCGGAAGATGATATCTACAGTTGTGTCCTAATTTGCAGAATGTCCATGGGAAATTGATCGTGTTTGATACCCTAGATGCAAATTTAGGATATGAAAACTTAAATGTGTAGGATAAATACATAACTCTGATAACGTGGAGCAATTCCTCCAAGCATGGCGAATACAGGTGCTTTGTTATGTGAAACTATAAGTCTGACTAGCTTTTCTTACTTAACATGCATTGGTTGGCTATCAGTTCATAGATCATACAATGTAGGATTTTAGCATGCTTATATATGCAAGTCAAGAGCCATAGCGAAAGAGAGCAATCATGTCCTATCTTAATAACTCTTGTGTTCCTTTCTAGGTATTATGTGATGTCTGTGAATGGAGGTTCTATGAGACTCTGATCTTAGTCTGTAATCCGAGGATACTTTTATTCCTACCACTTTGAATAACTTCTAAGTTCTAACTCAGTCGGCCACTTCATTTTAAAATTTGTTTGGCACATTGTGATCGTCTTCTGTAATAGCTTATTCTTTTGTATCTAAGTAAGAATTGTACATGTTCTATGTTAGGAGGGACATGGTGGTGACGATCCTAAAGATAGCACTGCCTATATGATAGCTTTTGTGAGTTTTCAGTTTTCACGAACACATCTATGAAAAAGTTTCTACTCTCCAATGCAGTCATCACTTACAGAGTCTTGCTTTCTGTTTCACTGTAGGTGCAAATTTGCTTCATCAGATGGTTGGTCTTGCAATGCCAAGGCTTTTGAGACTTTTTGGAACTGCCTTCTTTCACGACTTGGGTGATATTTCGTACTTAATTTTGATTACTCGCGTTCTTAAATTTTTTTGGTTGATTTCGAGTATCAGTTACTATTTTGGGATGGTTGTTGTGGCTCTTCCGATTAGTGATGCAGTAAATGGCTTCCCTCATTGTTTGTTAGATGGTCAATTCCCTATCGCCTTCAATTTAGTAAGGAAACCATATTTCATTAACCCATCATGCCCACCCACCTCAAATTTAATTAATGTTGGGTAATATATGCTGTCAAATGTCTACAATCATCACAAACTGGTCGGTGAATTGTTATTAAGTTTTGTGAGTTGTTATTAGTATGCTTTTGACTTGGGAAATTAAAACCACATATATTTGGTGATTTACGAGCTGTGAGGGGCATTTCAGACGTGGGGGTGTAAATCGGTAGGCAAAAGCAAGAGTAGCCTTATTCGTTTACGTTGAATTGTATGCTTACTTTTTTCATATACGAGACCCGTACTGATATATCTTCCTAATTTGGGTCAACAAAGGTCAACAGTAGCTGCTGACACAATTGAGAGGAGATGAGAGGAATTTAGGAACGAACTTGCCTCGAAACTTGAAGAGAAGAGGTAATGTAAATGTATAGATTGTGGAGCAACTAAATGCGAGTCATGTGCTACCGATAATTATTCTAGCAAATGAATCCAAAACATGTAAGATATGTGCTTTAAAACCATGTTTAGTTCCGGGCCTTCCGCCCATTGTTTAGTTTCAGAGACTGAGTTCTTTCTATTTCCATGATGTTTTCCTGCATTATTTGGTCAATCTTGGAACCATCAGGGTTGTGTTTGAATGGCAGAAAAATGTAGTTGTCATGAGCTATCTAGCTAACTGAAACAATTCAGTATAATTAAGATGTTGGGCATTATGATTTAATTGTTTGTGTATTATTGTTGTCAAATTGGTGAGTAGTCTTTGGTGTTCTTGCAAGTCCAAGAATACATTGATGAAACAGGAGCACAGAGAATTGGAGTACCTCTCCTCCCAAACCAATTTCCCGAGCACCATACTCCTCATCTCAACCACAAAGGCGTTGAACCATCCTACCCACGGGGAAGAGTCACTTGAGAGCGAACGAGGCATTCGATTCTCTGCGAGCTCTAGGACATCAAATGTTCCAATAATTCAATACTCGGCTCGGCTACCTCCGACCAACGGGTCGAGTTATAACATCTCTGTTGCAGTTGATATACTGGAGACCATAACAAAAGCAACGTATAACATCAAAACCAACCATCTGAACTATTAGCATTGTTCTTTACTCTTTTTTCGTGGTTGAGTCTCCTTCAAAAAGTTTAGTTTGATTTTAGAAAAATTTGCTTCTGCAGTCCTGTCTTGCCACCAACGCGTTCAGTAGATGGAGATGGCAGAGGCGAAGGCTATTTTTGTGTTGTTGTTGCTGGTTTAGGGATCGGTTTGTGAAGAAGAGGGAGAAGAGAGGGGGAAAGGGAAATGCAGGAGAGGGGGATAACTCTTTTCTCCGACAAAAATGGAATGAAGAAAGGAATTATGATCAGTAAGGATATGGTTATCTTACATAACGGTCTCTATTCTGTTTGAATTGAGCTTGGGAGGCCGTGATAAGGACGAGCTGCAACAAATTCATAGTGATAAGAGTGCTATGAACTGTGATAATGTCTTATTTCAAGTTAGAAGTTAGTTTCAGTATAAGAATTATTTAATTTGACAAGTTGTTTCGTCCTTTATTCTTGGTAGTTTCAGTGCCATTCTACCCATTGTTTAGTCTGTAATTTTTGAGAATTGATGTGCGAGTAATGACTTTCACTTAGCTTCAACTATTATGTGTGTATTTATTGGCATGTGATAGAATTCTCTTTTCCTTTTCATTGAATTCAGTTTCATACTCTAATTGTATCATTTGTACATAGGCAAATCATGCTCGAGATGACAACTCGCTGATATGGCTAGTGCAAGGAATGAAGCCATCATTAGAATTCAGAACGACAACGGGGAGGGATGCCCAGGATTAGTTCAATGATGATTGATGATGGTATAATAAAAACTGCAGTATGCATCAGCACCAATTTCTAGGCCTAAGTAAAGTTATTCAACCCAGAACTCTACTTAGCGCTAAAAATTGCCATCATCCAACCTTGATCCTATTTGACCCACTTCTGAAGAGTCAAGATATATGACTAATCCTCTCCGTTCGTATTTTCTTATTGACTCTTTCTGGCCCTTTAGGTTGGGGCGGGTCGGGAAGAATCGGATTAGTGGGTCGGTCCTAATCAAGTGGAATCCCAATCCCTTCACTCTCACTTGCTTTCTCTCCCATTCCACAAGTGGGTAACATACAGTAATCCGGCCAACGTGCCGGGTAATAAGCTAGTACATTTTAAAGAGTTTGATTTGCTCCATTTCAAATTTCCTACAACGAGAGTGAAAGTAGGAAGGGTATTTTCGTCTACACAATCAATTTTTTATTTCATATAAAAATATATCAATGCTAGGATTTGAACCATGGTCTCTTCCATCAAAAAGAAGAATTGTAACCAATTAGACTACACACATTTACTATACTTTATTAATACAAAACATAGAGGAAGTTAAAATTATGAAAAACAGAGTACTTTTCTATCACGGTTAGTTAGCCCGCTAAGTCTCCTGTAAGTATTTTGTGGTGTTTGATAATTCTATTTTCATATTTTAATAATTAATTTTTTCTAACTTATAAATGAAGGATAATCTTAAAATCTCAACACAAAAATCATTGGTTGGAATATTGCGCATTGAATTGAAGTGTTGAATGAAGTGTTGAATGACGACATAAGGACATTGGTACCATACATTTCAAGAAAAATAAACATGACAAACACTGATACCAATTATCTCGACAGTCTATGCTAAAATTTGAATTTGTTTAATCATTCAATTTGAGTGATAGTTTAGTCAAAGCAAGCAAATAATTCACGATTGTGTATGAACAAAAATAAAAACATATGTATTGTATTATAAAAATGTATTTATTTTAACAATCTAAAAAAACAATCAAAACTTTCATATACAACCACTTATTTCAACATTGTAATTAATGAAACAATTTTTATCAACATGATGCAATGTTCAAGCTAAGGTCCAATTATTAATCACCAGTATATAATATTCAGCTTAGTAAACTATTTCAATATCCACATCTAACTATTAATGATTACTTGCTTTCTGTTTGAGGGTTTAATGTTACACTCTCATGCCTACACTCGAAGCATTTTCCCCCCTTTTTTCCAATATTTTTGCAGTTATTTGTTAAATCAACTGTTTCTAGCTTTCCATTCCTAATTATTCACTGCTTCCTACCAACTTATGGGAATGATGAATATTTTTTTCATGTATAATCTATTGACTATGAATGTTGCTTATTACTTAAATTCAACGGTATCCATGTTAGGTTTGATGTCTCCAACATATTCTCACAATTTCTCGAAAAAGCATCATATCTTGTGATTGATATCATAGTTTTGTTAGGTAAAGTTCAACAAATTCGATCAATATTCGAACTCTTTGAAGTAGCTTTCTACATGTGAATATGAGAGTAGATAAAACTCTACTTGAGTTAGTACGATCTTTTGCGCTTTCAATTAAAATTCAATACATGATTATCTTATTACAATTTAGTCATACTAATTTTGCAGTAGGGGACATCTTATCAAAATCGTATCGAAAGACTCCTAGATTGATCAGTTTCAGGATGTAATCAATTATACCAAATAGAAGTGATCAAATTTATAGGATGCTCTCAAATTTTGCTATAATTATTGAGGTTCAACAACACGTTAATCGTAAGGGGGTCATTGATCATTTGTCTATCTCTTAGCTTGCCTAGACACACTTAGACATTGTAATAAAAATAGTAATTTTTAATAATGATGCATGAAATAACATTTCTGAAGCACTTTCATACTTCAGTTCAAATGATTTAACAACAAGCAAAATAACTCTCAAGTTTATAATTTTTTTTATACCAAATGGTATAATTAATTCATTTATGAGATGAAATAGCTAATTATAAGCACTTAAATTTTTAAGTTAAAACTCATATGATACAATTGTTTGACGAAATGGTTTTTATCATAGAGTGGTTCTATCGAGAGAGGTCTCTAAGAAACATGACTTACTTTATTATTCCTTAGGTAGATATAATATATATCCTCATCGTTACTTTTACATTGGAATCAATTTTGTATATTTTTTCCTTTAGATAGATTTTTTAATGATTTTTGGGATATAATATATCATTATTGTATGATGGTGTAGGATATTAGTTCCTCCCATTTTAGGTTCAAATTGATGCATTTTCATCTTTATCGTTCCCTTTTATCAGTTAATAATTTTTATGATATTTTTTACTATGAAATATCGTGAGCAGAATCTATACACAACAACTTGTGTTTTTTTCGCTTCGTCTTCTCTTGATTAGATATTGTGTCCATATTGATTCTTATATTGATTATTGAATTGCTACTTTTTTGTTGTGAAGTTTATGAAAGTAAGATGCATTTTTTCGAGAAACATGAAACTAAGATGCATATTGGTAAAGAATGTAAGGTGTCATCTTCCCTCTTAAGGGTTAAGCACTACATATCATTGTTTATCTATTGTTAAATCAAAGTCTTTCTAACTTGAGTACGAGCTACAATGACTTTTATTGTTGTCAATTTTTTCCAGAATATTAGGTATGTAGCTTTTAGTTTTCGCATTCTTTTCAGTTTGATTTAGCTTTTTATGTGTTGCTCTATTAGCTGAACTTGCCAGTTGGAGATCTACATGCTTCAACTACATTAATGTCACAATGTCTTCTATATGAAATGCCACTCGAAACATGATTGTGTGATTTAGTTTGTTTCTTATTAAGGACACTCTAAACATATATTTTGATCCATTATATCATTGAATACACTAAAGTCAATGGAAAAGTTGAAATATTTTATCGTCTACTGAAGATTGATTATGCATGTATGATGTAAAACGACTCTTACCATTGTTCTTATTAGACGTTTTTATATCAATACGACTTTGTTTGAAAATATGTATTTATGTTAGTGTAATTGGACGTTGTTCGCCATTTATAAAACTTCGTTAGTCAAATACATCAAATACTTTCCTATATAATCAATGGAGAACTTACCAACTAAATAATTATTTCAAACCCAACAACATGAACCACAACAAAAACAAAAAGATATACCTACCCTTATAATAACAACATGAGAATCAAACTCTCCGGCCAAGAGGCCGAGCCATAATCTAGTTTATAATTGACCCATAGGCCATATATTCCAAATCGGATTCTGCGTTTACGTCAAATCCCTCCACGGTCCACTCTTCTTCTCCTCTCCCCAAAGCGCGGTAAAAAGTTAAAAGGGATTTCTCCCAATTCGTTCTACAATCCCAAATCGCCAACCCTAGATCATCTAATTTTCCGGCCTGATTAGATAATCTTTGGAGCAAAATCGATCATGGGAGGCCACGGAGGTCTCAACATTCTCCCGCAGAAGCGATGGAATGTCTACAACTTCGACAACAGAGAGAAAGTCCGGAAGGACGAAGAAGCCGCCGCCAAAGAAGAGCAGCTCAAGCGCGAACAAGCCAGGAAGAGGGACACCGAGTTCCGCATCGAGCAGCTCCGTACCGCCCGCGGCCTTGCTCCAATCACTAAACCGCCGGCGGAGCCTGCGGCGGCGGGGGCACCTGCGAAGCCTTCTGAACCGGAGGAGGTCAAGGACGACGGACGACACATCAATCTCTTCGAAGGGATCAGGATTTTCGATCCTATCATGAAGCCGGTGGAGAAGGAAGGGAACAGCGGGAGGGATGGTGGTCACAAGAAGAAGAAGATGAAGAAGGAGGAGGTTAGGGTTGTGACGGCGGAGGATGAGAAGTATCGATTGGGATATGGCCTAGCCGGGAAAGGAGTAAAGTTGCCGTGGTACCTGGAGAAGCGGAAGGAAAAGGTGGAGGAAGATGAAGATTCCCCGAGCCGCAAGAAGGATACGGAGAGGAAGAAGAGCGGGAAGAAGACGGTGGAAGAGTTGAGGGAGGAAAGGTTGAAGAGGGAGAAACGTGAGAAGGAGAGGCAGAGAGCTGTTTTGGCCGAGCAGAGTCGCAGAGATGGAGGGTTCTCTAGGAGGTGAGACTGATTTTCCTTCATTATCATGATAGTTGCAGAATTGGCCATTGTGTACTGCGTAGTCTTATGTCTGTAACTAGCATGAATTACCCATCTCAATCTCAGCATCATGTATACATAAACTATTCAACCTGGTGTTCTTAGTTAGTATATAGACTTGAATTGGTTCGTTACTTGATTAGTTGAAATCTTGCCTCTCATGGATTATCTTGCTTGATTTCGGCTTTGTGACATCTCCAATAGTCTGAGGCATATCTATGTGACTATGTTGGGAATAGTATAGAAATTTGAGTTATTGGGATCAATGGTTCTTGAAAATATGCAATTCCATGATAATTTTATGGAATCGGAACCTTGTCATCCTAGTTCAGGTAGTGTTGTGTAGGAGTTTTTTATATTGATTCGTTCAGCAGCTCATATTATACATGGCCATAGGGGTCGGATATTGTGAAACTTTGGGATGTATGAACATGAGCATGCTAGAACCTTGTGGAGGGGACAATTGCAATTCCGTCTTGGGCGGAACACTGATGCAAGACTTGAGACAATGTGGAGGACCGATGATGGATTCAGCTTGTGTTGTTTAGAGAAAGAGAGAGAGAGAGAGAGAGAGAGAGAGAGAGAGAGAGAGAGAGAGAGAGAGAGAGAGAGAGATCATTCGTGATGTATCCGATCATTTTGGATCCAGTTGTCCATTGTTCTCTGGTTTAGTACTTGTCCTGTAGAATCTGTTGTTCTCTGAGAGCTGGAGGTATCTGCGATTATGCAGCACAACCATGTCATCCTAGTTCATGTAGTGCTGCTTAAGAATGTGAAAGTGCACAACATGATTTGAAGACTCACCGCTCTTTATCTTCTACATGAAAAGCATTTGATGATTCTTTCTACCTTCGCAGGAGGTAAAGCTCATGTGATACATGGTCGCAGTTGGGTGTTTGCCTGAATTCAAGTATGGCATGTCTCATCTCGGAGCTCTCTGCTATGCTTCTACTGCGCAGGTAGCTAGTCCGCTGCCTTGCTTACAAAGCTGAACAGCGAGGCCATTGGCTTGATGTCATCTTTTGCAGCAACTCCGCCATAATCACTTCCTTGGTGGGAAAACTAGTGCTGCTTCTAACAATTTCGGTGGGTGGCCGGTTTTGGTTTTGGTTTTGGGATGGAATGGAATGCTGTTGTATACGTCAATGACTCTGATGTCCTGTCTGTTGTTGAATCCAGATATGGGTAGCTGGTGACCAATAGCCGTGGATGTTTGTTTGCGGGGGGTTTAAATTAGTAGTTGAACTTCGAAAATTGTCAATGCATGTTGAAAGGCGACCCTTCTCAAGGACAAATCATCAAATTTCAATGTATATATAATCTTCTTTTAAAATCCGACTGTAATTATTCCCACCCCTACGTCATATATATCATTATCGTTATGACTTATGATCGAGTTGGATTCAAATGTTGATCTCAATAGTCGAATCGAATCTTGTTTTGATATGGTTCGATCCAAACACCAATTTGGTTCCTCTATTGGTGAATCGCATATCAACACCCAGATAGGCAAAGTGGTATTGCTTTTTTCGGGTTATCTATAACGTGTACTCTGACAAAGTACAGCTGAGGTAGTTATCCAGAAACAAAACAAAAAATGTCTTACCTAGAATACAAATTCGTCCATGCCTCAGTAATTCGCACCCATATCTTTGTCTTGTAGAGAAGCACTTATTTATAAGAACGGATGGGAGGCAGATAAGACCAAAAAGAACATGAAACCCACAAAAAACCCAACTTTAGAGCATAAGAGCAACCCCTGAAGCTTTACTGCTGCTTGGCATATAATGGTGGTGGCCTTAACGTGACAGCTTGAGTTTAGTGAGGCAGATTAGAAAATATATACAAGCTGACAACCCCGAGTTGTTAACCTGCTTAGAACACTAGAAAAAGGGTGACAACCCCATGTTTAATCACTTGATTAAACAAATCCAATTAATCAATTCATGATGATCTTAAGTGACAAGCATGGCGTTGAACTTTAATCTTGTTCTGAATATTTTAAACTGTGTTTTAGTAATCTGTCACTTTAAGTGGAGCATATAAATTGCAGTCTGTAGGTGGCTTGTGTTTCAGAGAGAGAGAGAGAGAGCTCAGGTCTGGTGTTTTGGCACTGCAGATTGCAGCAATGGTGACATTCTCCAACAGTTCACTCATGTACTTGGAAGATTTGAGTTTCCCCAGGGTAATAATCTTTATGGGTTTTTTTTCTTTCTAAAACTTCTTTTATTTCCGCGATTCTCAAATCCTGGCTCCGTCTAACCTTGTGTGTACAGATTCAGGTAGTAGTGGTGACAGCGAGCCTGGCTTGCTCCCAGTGTCGCCAAAGAGTCTCCCGTCTCCTTTGCCGAATGGCTTCAGGTTCGGTTAAAATGATTTGCATGCTTTTAGCGACGAGTAGGGGGTTTTTTTTGTTATTAATTCTCACGGAGGGAATGTTGCTGTTGCTTGCAGGTTTGATAGAGTACACGGTGGACGTAAGAGGGAAGCAAGTTATTTTCAAGGGGGAAACAGAACCTCCCGGCGGGAATGAGTATCACAGAAATAGCGACGGAATAAAGGAAAATCGTCGCTATCCCCTAAAGTGGTTCTCGTTGGTTTCATCATTTCTCCTCTTCACTTGCTGCTTCTCCACCAGAAGGAAAGGCTATGGTTGCTGATAATTGAAGTTCCCTATCTTCAATTTCCATCCTTACTGCTCTTCTCGTCTTAGATTGTATCTTCTTTAAGAATCCCCCTGGCATTTTGGTTTAATCTGCTTTTTGTTTGTGTTTTGGGTTGTTTTAATCGTCCAGAATATACTTATTCATGTATTTATTATACATTGAGATCGTTTTTAATTCACCAAGTTACATACTAATATATGTAATCTTGAAATAAGACCGGCTTTACTTGTTTAACTCATAATCATGAGAGAATGTAATATTCAAACTACATTAATTAATTCCATTATTATTAGAACCGAATCAGATCAATCATTGTTTAGTACTTAGTAGAACTACTAAATCAGTTACAATAGCGATTCGGTTAATTTGATTGAACAGTTAGAGATGGATTCCACAGTTTTTTACAATTTGACATTAAATCAGATGAACCACCTCAATTAAATTAGTTCACTCGTTCACAATTTTATCCACAAAAAATATAAGAAAAAAATATTTTACCATAAAATAAGATTATCCAAACTCAAAAAATCATTTGATTTATGCATCATTTTCCAACCCCTATCAGCTGTATGTTGCTCACTGCGGGTTGCAACACAACTGACTAATAACTTGAATTTAATAATTTTTTTATTTCTTTAATTCTATAGTTTGAACACTTTGTTAGAACTATTTGGTGATAGATGATATGAATTCGAATTTGTTTTGAGTTAGTGATAACTTCACTCCTAAATTATTAGTGTAATGTATATGTATTTTATGTTATAGCGAATGAACGATTCTGCCAACGATTATTTGTGAAAACATCATCAATTCCAATTAGCGGGCTTCTAGAATTAATGTTACTATTGGCTCAGCACGAGTTATGGGGCCAGGTATATATTCAGCCCACTATAGTTAGCTAACAGTTCGAGCTTTAATTCTGTTCCGAAACCTAAAAGGAATTTTGATCAACGATACAAAATATATAAATAAACTCAATCCCAAGAACCGCAATTTGGCTCACCATACTTTTTCCTTCACCAACATGACCGGCGGCTGCGTATCCTGAGAGCAGCGTAGTTATTGGTCGGAACAGCCGGTCGAGCTCCTCGACGCGATCATCTGCCGACTGCCGGCTAACCAAAGCAACCGACGTCGTCTATTCCCAAGCCGTTTGCAAGCCATGGAGGCGCCCATCAATAAAGCTTCATCAATCCCAGCCGTGGCTGAGATGCAGGCAGACCTAATAACAAGATCCGCCACGTCGTTTTACCCCAAAACGTGGGCCTGAAGGTTGGGCTGGATGTTTATACCAACAGGCCCATCGATTTCTGCTGAATGCTTTTTGTTGGAACCTTTCACAAGAGATAAGATCCCTCTGCCACCCATTAGGTTGGCCATCAATTACATCAACGGTTTAGCAACGTCAGCTCATCCTACCTCGGAGGAATGCATCGTCATGGTTCATTACCATGGAGGCCCCAACCGCCGTCACGGCCTAGCGTTTTGCAACATTGGAGTTGATCATTGGACCTCCATCCCTTCCGTGGTTGAGCTCATTGAGAATATTGTATTATGGAAAGATCGGTTTCACTCCGTCTGTTGGGACGGAGAAATTCTGGTCTGTGATCTGGATGGGCCGCATCAGACAGTGTCACGAGCTTTCCTAATTTCTGATCAAATCTGGTCCCAACTTCGCGAGTTTAGCATTCTGGTAGGCTTGGGATACAGTGAGTAACCACTGGTTACTGATCTGTAAGTAACTCACCCGGAGCCGTTGATCTAGGACGGAGCGATCATGTGGCTGGGATTGATGCGGGGTGATGAGGGGTATTTCTGTCCGCTTTTTGAATTTTTAATTGTTTCCTTTTTTTTTAATTTGTCCAACATTTATTAGTTTGCTTTGCATGGAGGAGAGAGAGTTAGTGTCTTATCTCTGCAACTCTCTTTTCCTCTTTTTTTGTACCTTTCTCTCTCTCATTCTCCTTATTCTCTAGATCTAATCTCTTATTCTGTTCTTCATTTTTCTCTCTAGCAATCTCCTCTTTCTTTGTTCCTTTCTCTCTGCCAATCTCTTTCTTCTCTAGATCTAATCTCTTTGCAGCTGCTTCTTCCTTATGTTCTTTCTTTTATCGGCCTCAAAATAGATGACGTTCCATATTGACAAAGAGGGGACGGATCTATGTGAGTTAAGTTTGCATGTTTTATATTTTAATATTTATTTGTGAATTTTCAATTCCGATCTTCCTCCTCTTTTTTGTTGTTGCATTTGGTGTTCTTGATTGCAGAGGAGACAGAAGACGAGTTTTTTTTGTCTCTCCCTCCTTCTGTTTTCTTCCTTGTAGGTAATATTTATTGGTATTACCACACTATACCATATGGTAATGTGTGATAACTAAATGTATCTTTATGGTCACGAGTTTTATCATGGTGGTAGTGGGTGGTAATCGACTCCAGTTCTGAGAAAAAAGAGTTAGAAGACAATGAAGCTGGAGAAGAAAGTGAAGAGAGTCGTAATTGTATATATATATATATACCGAGATTACCACACTATACCATATGGTAATGTGTATATACCATATGGTAATGTGTATATACCATATGGTAATGTGTATATACCATATGGTAATGTGTATATACCACACTATACCATATGGTAATTTGTATATACCATATGGTAATGTGTATATACCATATGGTAATGTGTCTATACCATATGGTAAAGTGTGGTAACGAAATGTATTTTTATGGATATCGTGTTTTACTATGGTCGTAAAGGATTGTGATTAGATTTATATTATTTTTGTATGGTTTTACCTTCTCATACCATGTGGTATTGTATGGTAATTACAATTAATTTGTGTTCATTCGATTAACCATGTTCTACTATGGTGGTATTGTATGGTAGTTAGATTTACCATATGTTGATATTACCACACTATACCATATGGTATTGGGTGGTAACGAAATATATATTGATATTACCACACTATACCATATGGTATTGGGTGGTAACGAAATATATATTGATATTACCACACTATACCATATGGTATTGGGTGGTAACGTAATATATATTGATGTGACAAATTTTTTCATACCATATGGTATGGTCAATACCAGTCATTACTATATGGTAATGACTGGTAATAACTGACAAATTTTTTTATGTCCGAAAAATATCAAAGTGGATATCATTTTGAAGAGCACAATTAATCTGATCTAACTGTGCAAAAAAAATTAAATTCCGACTTAAAACGAGTGAGAAATCGTCCGTTAAAGATTAAGAGAAGGAAAATTAAAGGTTGTTTGAGGAGAGAGAAGGCGCTGATGTGATCTGGTCAGCGTCAGCGCGTCAGAGACATCATTAAATAGGGGGTGCAATTTTACCTTAGTGCCCCTCCGTATTTTTTTTAAATAAAAAGAAAAAGCTGACACGTGGGGGCCAGGGGAAGGGGTTACTGATGGTTACTGATGGGATGGTTACTGAGGTGATCCGGACCCATTCTGGTAAGTGCGGAAGGGGAATTGATGTTGGTGACTAGGCATGCATAAAGTCATCATCACAAGGACCCTCCAGCAGAATATGCTAAGAGGCCCTCATATTATAAGATCATTGCTTTCACCGTATACAAGGTCAATCAACAGAAAGAAAGATGGGATTAAGTCAAATGCATAGGTGATTATGCCTTGTTCGTGGATGGTCGCAATGCTATATATGTGTCTATCAAAGATCATTCGGAATGTAAAAAGAATTGTGTTTATTAGTTATTACGAGTCCACTGCATATAATATAGGATCTAAGAGATTGGAATCATTTGCCTCTAATGATACATTAGATGACGTTTATAATTGTAACTCATGGGTTTTTCCTTCTAATTAATAAATTGTGATTCTATCTTGTCCATAGTCTCATGGGCTTCAATTTCTTCCCAAAAGTTGTGATTCTATCTTGTCCAGTCGTCCCAACTTCGACTTAGCAGCCAAATCCCGAGGGGCAACTGATGTTTCCCACCATACATAGATCTTATAAATATGAGGTCTCCAAAGCCTATTATTTTTCTCTGCCTTGCTACCCCTCCATAAATAATTTAGTAGCTAACCAACCCAGCCTGACAAATGCATATAAAAAAAGTGAGAAAACAAAACCGAAACATAAGAAAACACTCTAAAAATCTTGCGAAGCACACCACATACCAAAAATACTTAACAAACGAGAACAACTTATCTTCTAAAAAAGACCAGACAATGCATACTAGAGAAATCGAATACACAAAATATATGAATGCACACAGAAAACAGTAGAATGCAAATTCGATCTCCAACGGTACAAGAAGGCATACTTAAAAATTGTGAGTTTAGGGTGTCAGAAATGGTAAATAGCAACGAATTTGGATTTCGATGAAATCTGGAGGGGGGAACTTGTCGGGAAATGCAGCCACAACAACAGAAGAGATGGAAAGGAAATAGAAGAGTGAGAGCGACCCTAATGTAGAGAAACAACGACTTATTTTGACGATCAGAAATCATCACACCAGTCACTAACGCGGTCTCGCTATGGATTTTATGAAATTTAGATTAGGAGAGAGCAGTGTTCAAGAAGACGCGATTAATCTCTCGCCTAGGCACGATTATTAGCTGGGCAGGAGGAAATCGCCCCGTCTTAACAGAGTAATCGAACCAGAGTTGATTGAAGGGATGAACCGGTCTTGGTTCCTTGGACCCACTGATACGGCGTCATTCAGCTGTGCAGTGATCGAGAGGCAGAGACAAGGACGACGTCGTCGCAGTTAGGCGCCAAGACACTTTTCCATTTATACTGTACAGCACCACGTGTTGGTCTAGTATAGGTCATTTCAATTAATCCGTTTTGTTTACCGTTGTAACTCTGTAATTAGGACTGATAGCTAGCTGTACAGTTCTGTTCTTTCATATATATAGGCCCTCAGTGGCAAAGTGCCCCTTTGCGGGTTCCACTCCAATTTGTCTTCTACTAAATTTCTTATGGTATCAGAGCCTGGTTCCCAGAACTAGGGTTTCTGCATCCTTTACCCGCATTCTTCCTTTCTCTTAAACTCCAGCCGCCATGGCAGAAAGCTCATCTACAGACGCAGCCATAGGCTCTGGAGGCAACAACAACGACAACACACTCACTGGTCAAGCACAGCCACCAGCTGTGACAAACCCATTCTATGTTAACCCTAATGAGGCGCTTGTCTTCCCCATCAAACTCACAGGCACCAACAACTACAATCAATGGAGCAGGACAGTTCGTGTGGCTCTTAAGAGCAAGAACAAGTTGGGCTTCATCAACGGCACAATCCCAATTCCAGATCTGCTCCATCCTTCTTACCCAGCTTGGGAACAGAGTAACACCTCAGTCCTCTTCATGATTCTTGGATCTTTGCATCCTAGTCTTGTTGATTCTGTTTCTTCCATGGAAAATGCTCAAGTTGTTTGGAATGACCTCAAACAGAGATTTGGACAAGCAGATAATATAAGGATTAGTGATTTGCAAACTGCTGTTTACACTTTAAAGCAAGGTAGTAAGTCTGTGAATGAGTTCTACACTGAGTTGAAAAGTAACTGGGAGGAATTGAACCAATTCCTTCCGATCCCAGGATGCCTGTGTGGTGATGTTCAAGCTAGAACTGTGCCATGTGTCACTGAAGTGGCAATCAAGAGGTACAGAGATAATGAATATGTGATGAGGTTTCTTAAGGGGCTGAATGATTCCTATGAAGGAGTCAGGACTAACCTGTTCATGATGAGTCCTTTGCCCTCGATGGAGACTGCTTTCCATTTTGCCATCCAGCATGAGAGGCAACTTTCAGCCAAGACAAGTCAAGAATCTGCAGTGGAATCAGTGGCTCTTCTTGCCCCATCAGGATCTCAAGGAAAAGGGAAAGAGATACCAAAGGGAGAATTATTTTGCAGATATTGCAAGAAGAACAACCATGTGATTGGTGACTGCTATAGGCTGAAAAGGAAGAATAGGGAAGCAGGACATTCATCTGGAGGTTTTGCTGGTCAGTTACAAGGAATGGATTCATCTTCTGATAGCATCCTTGGAAAACCAGATTCACAGAATGGTAATGAATCAGGGGGAGGATTCACTAATCTTCGACTTTCTATTGAAGATGTCCATAGACTTCAGAAGCTACTTGGACAGTTCAGTCCACCACAGTCACCCACTTCTCCTAACAATGCATCCACTGGATCTACACCAAGAGATTCACAACATGTTCAAGTGAATTCAGTCACCAAGCATATCTCTGCTAGTCCAAACTATGCAGGTAAATTTACCTTGACCACATACTATCAGAAGCATCCACTAGAGCTTGTCAATGTTTGGTTTCTTGATACTGGCGCCACTGATCATGTTACTTGCTCTTTCAACCATTTTCTAAATAGCAAACCTGTTTCTAATGTTTTCATTACACTACCAAATGGTTCTAAAACCCCAGCTACTCATTCAGGAACAGTTAGGCTATTATCAGGACTAGTCATTCATGGAGTTCTTTTTGTCCCTACCTTCTCCTTTAACCTCATTTCAGTCAGTAAACTGACTAAGTCCCTTCCTGTGTCTCTTTCCTTTCAATCCAACCTCTGTTACATCCAGGACCTTCTCACCAGCAAGAGGATTGGTTCTGCCCAAGAGATTAGAGGTCTTTACCAGCTCATTCAACACACAGGAGATCATACCATACATGTCAATTCTACAACTACACAAAGTCTCATACCTCAATCCTTTAACCTGTGGCACTGGAGACTTGGCCATCCATCTCAGCATAGAGTAAAGGAGTTACAGAAAACCATTCCCACCATCTGTGTTGAGTCTGTTCAACACTGTCAAGTCTGCCATTTGTCCAAGCAAAAACGTTTACCTTTTTCTTCAAGCCAATCTGTGGCAAAGAGTATTTTTGAACTCATTCATGTGGATATTTGGGGGCCACTTGCTGTTTGTTCTTACAATGGATTTCAATACTTTCTTACCATTGTTGATGACAAATCTAGATGTGTATGGGCTTTTCTAATGAAACACAAAAGTGAAGCTAGAAAACTTTTACAAGATTACTGCATTATGGTGCTTCCCTGAATTAATTCTCCGACGGGTTAACCCCGTCGATCATCATCGCCGACTGGTTCCTGATCCCATCGGCTTGGCCCTTATGAGGCTTTCTGGCAAAGGCATTTTGGTCGGGCGGCTTCTCCACCCTGCTTTTGCTAGGCTGCTTCTCTCCCAGAATAATTTTTCCGGGTCGCGGTTCTGGGTGATCCTTTCCGCCTTCCGATGGTCGGACATTTGAGGGAGGAGTGACATCGGTTCCCGTTCCTTGAGTCGATATGGGCTCCGTCTGCAGGCTGCAACGGGGTGTCGTCGATGGTTGATCCGCGTGAAGTGGCCCTGGTTGTGGAGGTGACGTCTCTGTAGGGTATGCATGCATGGGAGTATTTTTCTTGTTCCCAGCATCATGCGTCTGGGTTTTGTTCTTGTGCTTCATATGCCCTTTGGGAAGTTCCACTTCATGGGTGACACCACTTTCCGCTAGGATCACTGGGTTCTCGTGCCTGGCCGAACTCTCCACCCTGTCCTCTTCCTGCAACACACCGAAACGGGACCCAGTAGCTGAGCTCTGCTTTGATGATTTCCCCTGCGGCAGCTGGGCTCCCCCCTTCAATGATTGGGTCGCTTGCTCCTTGTGAGGTGGACGCGGTTTCCTTTTTGCTATCATCCACTCACCATAGGTGCTGTCCTGTTTTGGTTCTTTCTCCCCCGTCTGGTGCACCGCGACGTTGCTGTCTGCTTCCATTGGTATGTGGGCCTTGGTCCATGGACAGGCGCCATGTTCTGAATACGTTCCGCAGCTTAGGCAAATCTTCTCCAAACCCTCATACTGGATAAAGTACTTCTTACCATTAATCGTAAACTGCGATAAGAGGGGTTTGGTGAAATCAACCTGAACGCATACTCTCGCATAGTCACTTCTAGCCTTTGTGCGTGTTGCAGCGTCTATGCGTATTGGTTTACCCATGCGACGCCCAATTTTCATTACCGCCTCATGATGGAAATAATGTATCGGTAGGTCTAGGAGGCGTGCCCAAACTACAGTTGAGGATATCTCGTGTTCGTACGGGTCAAAATGTTTATCCCACATATGAACAGTAAGATAGCTCGGTCCGATCATCCATGGTCCGCCTGTGATGGCTCTCTCGTAGTCCAGGCCGCTAGTAAACCTGATCAGAAAATATCCCTTCTTCATCGAGGTGACTTGAATACCCCCCGCCTTTGCCCAGATGGCATTGAGACGGATAGACATGGCGGTGTACGACACCGATCTGCCTAAAGCTTTCACTATCAAGGCAGATCGGAGCTCCCTGCAAAAAGTCCTCTCTTCGACGGCCGAAAACTGTATCGGAGGACATTTAGGGTCCTCATCCGCTTCAAACGGGGCTTCTTGGCCATCCTCGCGAATGGCTGCGGCTATGTCCTCAGAGTCCGATTCCGCGATATACCATTCATCCATGCGCTGACTCTCTCCAAAGAGCCTTCTCGCTGTGCTCATGCTTTGCGCCCAGGCAGCTGGCCTAGGGCTTTTGGCCGACGAAGTTTCGTCGACGGTGACCTCCGGCATGGTTTCATCTGCGATGACTTCTATGCTCGGCTGCGCCATTGTTTGTTTGGCCCTTTTTTTGGTGTGCTGAGCCTCCTTGTCGCCCTTGGGGTTGGGGAAAGAAGACTCAGTTGGTGGTCTACGTTGGCCTGCTCCGGTGTCCAGTTGTAATGGCGGTCCGGAGCCTCCTCCTGCCGGCGGCGGAAACTCCGCAGACATGAAGACGGAAACCCTAGCCTGCTCAGGATCTTCGAGAAATCGCCCTAGAAACTCCAACTAACCATTGCCTAAGCGCTAGAAACTCCGGTCAGTTTGGGATATGACTACCCAAAACAATATTGAACATGGATCGTTAATTAAAAAAAAAAAAATGAACGTTGTAGATATAAGTTATCACGCAACTCATTTCGTCCAAATTTTAATGCAAAACCCAAACACCCCTTAGTTAGCAACCGCATCTTGCCTGAATTATGGGCCCTGTGAATCTGTGAAGCCCATTACAAATAGCAAAAACTCTAAACTTTATGGAATGCCTCACTCTTCAAAAACCCTAAAAAGGAATTATGACCAACAATCGTTCAATACGTACAGAGATCCAGATCACGAGAACTGAGACTACAATTTGACACACCGTACTTTGTTCATCGAATCTCCAACATGACCGGCGGCGGCGGCGTAGCCTCTGAGCAGCGCGATAATTGGTCGGAACTGCCGGGCGAGCTCCTCGACGCGATCATGTGCCGGCTAACCAAAGCAACCGAAGTCATCTATTTCCGAGCCGTTTGCAAGCCATGGAGGCGCCCCTCAATAAAGCTTCGTCAATCCCTGCCGTGGCTGAGATGCAGCTATATAAAGAAGCCCGATTGCTGCTGCGCGGGCGAAAACTGCCATCACTTCATTGATCTCGCGCGGAGATCCAACGACAAGATCCGCCGCGTCGATTTACCCCAAAGCGTGGAGGCCAAGGGAGCTTGCGGCTCGGCCTCGGGCTGGATGCTTATACCAACCAAGCCATGGATTTCCGACGAATATTTTTTGTTGGAACCTTTCACGGGGAATAAGATTTGTTTGCCACCAATTACATTCTACCTTTTTTACAGTATTGCGTGCTTTGCGATGTCAGCTGATCCCATGACGACGGAGGAATGCATCGTCATGGTTCCCTACCATGGATATCCGGGCCCCGAAGGCGACCACGGCCTAGCTTTTTGCAAGCTTGGATCTAAACAACAAGAAGAAGAAGAAGGAGGAGGATATTGGACCTCGATCCCTTTCCCTCCTTACACGGTGGAGCTCATACAGAATATTGTTTTCTGGAAAGATCGGTTTCACGTCATCTGTTGGGACGGAGAAATTCTGGTCTGTGATCTGGAGGGCCCGCATCCAACGGTGTCACGAGCTTTCCTAATTTCCGATCAAATCTGGTCCGATCCTGCCCAATTTAGCATTCTGGTAAGCCCGGAAGGCGAATTGATGTTGGTGATCATGCATAAGTACGATCCTCAACACGAGGACCTCCCAGCAGAATATGCTGGGAGGTTCCCGTATGATAGGGATATTGCTTTCACCGTATACAAGATGAAGGAGGATAAACAAACATGGGATGAGGTCCAAAGTATAGGTGATTACGCATTGTTCGTATGTGGTTTCAATGCTGTGTATGTGTCTACCAAAGATCATCCCGAGTGCAGAAAAAATCGTGTTTATTACGAGCTGGCTGCGTACGATATCAGCTCTAAGAGATTGGAGTCGTTTTGCTCTCATGGTACATTGGATAACGTGTTTTATACATGGAATTGTAGTTCGTGGATTTTCCCTTCTGTTTAATAAACTGTAGTGGTATCTGTGAGCAAAGAGAATTTGGAAATTGTTTTGTACACATACGCTTTGACAGCTTATTTGTATGAACGTACAATGTTATGCCTGCAGATGATACCACTTTTTTACTGTTTAGGTGATGAGCAGGTTCGAAGTTGATATCTAATGAAATTAAGACTCTGAAAAATGCATGTTCTTCGTTCATAACGTAAAAGGGTCAGAAACGAACTGTAATGAATACAGCAGTAGTACTGGAGACCTCGGGTTTGGTATGAAGAAGGCTGGATTTGTTGAAGGGTATTTATAGAGGGATAGTTGGAGGTTTAGCATGAGGTTGAAAATTTCATGTCTTGATTTCACTATTTTCATGTGGTACTTTTATCAGTTTACTTTTCCAGTTTGATTGTATATAAAACTTCTATTCTAGTTTCCATTTTTTTATATATATATATACGGTAACAAAAAAAAAATGTTGTTGTTGTTGTTTGAGATGGGGAATTGTTGGGTTTCATTTGTAGGGCGTGTAGCACTACAAGAAAATTCGATATTCCTAACCAATAAAATTAGTCGCGCATGGCCCCTGCACTATTTCTTTTCCTAACATAGTCCTTCAAATATAAACATTTTTTTTAATGTGACCCTTATTGTTAAAAGACTGTTAATATTCTCTTAAACAGAGATCCAACTGCTCACATGACAGGCTAATTAGGTGTTGAATCAATCATAATATAATGTAATTACAAAGTTATCCTTGCTATTTTAATCCTTTTGTAAGTTTTGATAAAAGATATGCCGATTTATTGGTTTTGATTTGAAATTGTAGGGTGAAACACATGAAAGGAATTAGTTGGGGAGAGAGAGAGTTAAAAATATGGAGGAATGTTTTTTTTTTAATCATGAGGACTTTTATTGAGATGAGTCCATGTGACCTTAGTAGGTCTCAATTTAACGATGGTGCTCACTGAACAACCTTCCTCTGAAAATGGCTATCAATGGTGCTAACATGATCCCACTGCCTCAGAGGCCGGAGCAACTTTTCGCATTCCCGGCCTCTGCGAACCAGATCCATGAGCAACTGTCTCCGCCCGGTCTATCACAGAGTCCTTATTCTCGACCCGGAGGGTCCGGTGGTTCCTATGCCAATGCTCTAACAGGAAGATCACCCCCGGCATCGCAGCAGACGCATGCCTTTCAATGGACACATGTGGGTGCGAACGACCTAATCCCTGGAGAACATCACGGCGAACCGGCTCTCAACGTTTCAGCGGTTTTCAAGAACAAGATTTGTGCGCCATGGCAACGAGCGTTGATGGTTTGCCTGCTGGGTACCAAAATTGGCTATAATACGCTCTGCTCTCGCCTCCGCTCCCAGTGGCGGCCAGTTGGATCGATGGAAGTTCTGGATCTGGATTCAGATTGCTTTTTGGTCAAGCTTGACAATGAGCAAGATTACTTTCGAGCGCTCACTGACGGACCTTGGGTGATCTTCGATCATTACCTGGTGGTCCAACAATGGTCCCCCGACTTTAGCACTTCTGATCCTCTTCCCAAGACCATGATTGTTTGGGTGCAGTTTCCAGCGCTCAAGGTCCATTTTTACCACAAAGAAGTGCTTACGGCTCTAGGCAATCTGATTGGGCGAACAATCAAATTGGACTACCACACGCTTACCCAGCAAAGAGCTAAGTTCGCCCGGCTGGCCGTGGAGGTAGACCTTTCCAAACATTTGGTCCCGAGAATCTTTCTCGACGGCCGCTGGCAGAAAGTTGAGTATGAAAACCTCCCGTTGGTCTGCTTTGAATGCGGGAGAATTGGTCACATGAAGGCTCTTTGTCCATCACTCCGACCGAAAGGTTCGGCCGGCGAGATCGTTCTAGCCGGAAGCCTCTCGCCGACGATGACGCGTCCGGCAGAGGTAGAATCAAACCCGGGTTTTGGGCCTTGGATGTTAGTTACCAAAAAAAAACTGGCGGAACTCAAGGGACAACCACAAAAAAGGTAAATCAGAGACAGAATCAGGACCCGAATCAGGCCAACGTTTCAAAGAATAACAAGAGTGTCGGGAAGAATAAGGAAAGTGGGGAACCTACAGTCCACAAAACTGCGACCCTGCAACGGTCTCTGCCGCAGGACGGGAAAGGAAACCCCTCGAAGAAAGCAGGGGAAGCGGCGGACAAGGGGAAAGCTAAATTGGTTTCGGAAGTCTCGGGTAACGGTAAGGGACTTTTAGGCTCGGCCCCAACCCTGACTACTCCTCTGGCTACTGGGCCTCGGCCCAAGGAAGATGCAAACCGGGCTTCCACTTCGCTCTCAACCGATGATCACCAGGTGCAATCTAGTGGACCCTCTAAGGCTCTTGTGAGTGATGGGCCGAAGATTGCCAACCCACCCTCAATTCAGCCTATGGCGTCGGATACGGTCATTGGGCCTAATGGAACTCACATACAGATCCTGGAAATACAATCCCCTTCGCGGAAACCTTCTCGGAAACGTGAGAAAACAACAACGACGACTAATGAGAGGTTGAAGCAGACGAAAAACTCGAAGATGAAATCCAAAAAGCAATCCCCGATCAAGTGCAATCCGGCAAAGCCCCTGCAGATTTGGTCGCCGGTCAAGGACAAAAAGAATAGATCAAAGAATCGGACTGCGTCGCTCACGCTCCAGGACATCAACGCGTGGACCGGGGCGGTGGAGAATGCGGGGATGTTCAAATCTGGCGAGGAAGGTGTGACCCCCATGTCGGAGCACCCTCTGACTAGTCAGTGCGCGGTCGTCGGCGACACCCAGCCATCTTAATCTAGTGGTTTCGACCCTTCTCTTTGCGCATTCCCCTCTTTCTCTTTCGCTTCTTTTTGTTTTTAATGATTAATCCTTATACTGTTAAAATCCTCTCTTGGAATGTAGGTGGAGCCGGGAGTAAGGCCTTTGCTCGCTCTCTAAAGTTAGCTATTATGAAGAACCGCCCTGATTTCGTTGTCCTGCTTGAGCCTCAAATTAGTGGCGCCATGGCCAATTCGGTGTGCGATAAGTTGGGTTTTCCCAATGTTATTAGAGTGGAAGCAGATGGTCGGAAAGGGGGTATTTGGGTCTTCTGGGACGCAGGGAAGTTCATTGTCTCGACCTGGTCAGTTTGTACCCAACACCTGTCTCTGCGGGTGACTCAAGGGAATGCCCAACCGTGGCTTCTCACTGCAGTTTATGCTTCTCCACGTCAGTATGAGCAGAGAAGCCTCTGGGAAAATCTTTTTGAAGATTGTAAAACCATCGATGTGCCTTGGCTGCTTACGGGTGATTTTAACGCCATTCGGTCACCAGAGGAGAAGTCGGGCGCTGTTTCGATGAATGTTGTTCGAAAATGCAAAATGTTCAACGACCGCATCAACCAGGCTGAGTTGATTGATTTGGGTTTCTCCGGACCGGCTTTCACCTGGACAAGGGGTAACCAGCACCACACGTACAGGGCAAGCCGCCTGGACAGGTCCCTGTGCAATCTTCTCTGGAATACGTCGTTTCCGGATACCTCTGTTCTTCACCTCTCCCGCCTGCACTCGGATCACAGCCCGATTCTTACTACGGCTGTCCCTCAGGGAGTTCTTTCTCCTTCTATTCCTTGACCTTTTAAGTTTGAAGCCGCATGGTTCACGCATAAAGATTTCTTTGATTTTGTTGCAGGGAATTGGGGAGATCAGGCGACCCTTCCGGAGGCTTTAAGCAATCTCGCGACCAAGCTACTGGAGTGGAACCACTGTACTTTTGGAAATGTTCAGCTGAGGAAGAATCGACTTCTGAGGCGTATCCAAGGAGTGGAAATAAGATTGGCAGCCTCTTTCAACCCAGGCCTTGCTAAGCTTCATTCTAAACTTGAGGCTGAATTGGACAAGGTTCTAGAGCAGGAAGAGCTTCTTTGGTTCCAACGAGCCCGAGAAAATTGGGTGAAGTTCGGTGAGCGGAACACAGCGTATTTCCATCAGCAAGTGAACATCAGGAGGCGGCGCAACATGATCAAAGCCCTCCAAGACGATCATGGAAACTGGATGGATGACCCGCAAGTTCTGGCTATGTTTGTTTTCGAGTACTTCGCTAATCTCTATTTGCAAGACTCCTCTACCTATGAAGACAAAATGCCTAAAGGAGACTTTCTTCGACTGGGACAGCAGGAGCTCATGACTCTTCTTCGCCCGTTCGATATTTGTGATATACACAAAGCTATTTTCGACATGAAGCCCCTTCAAGCTCCGGGTCCTGATGGTTATCAAGCCGCCTTCTATCAGAAGTCTTGGAGTACAGTTGGCAAGACTGTGACTGATATGGCTCTTCAGTTCTTCTCCACCGGAAGTCTGCCCGCTGCTGTCTCGGACTCCACAGTTGTCCTAATCCCGAAGGTAGAGACCCCTGAGTTGGTAACTCAGCTCAGGCCGATCTCACTTAACAATGTGAGTCTGAAGGCTATTACCAAGGCGATGACTAGTCGTCTCAAACCTGTTATGAGGACGCTAGTCTCGATGCGGCAGAGCAGTTTCATTCCTAAGAGGCAAACAACCGACAATGTCATTACCGTCCAGGAAGTGCTTCATTCGCTAGGGAAGAGGAAAGGGAAGAAAGGTGGGCTAGTGCTGAAGATTGATCTTGAGAAGGCTTATGACATGCTTAGATGGGATTTCCTGAGGGACACTTTGAAGGAAGTTGGCTTACCCAGCTCGTGGATTAGGGCCATCATGTACTGCGTGGAGCATAATCGGATGCGTATTCTCTGGAATGGCAGACTTTCTCCAACCATTACACCGACACGGGGTGTGCGACAGGGAGACCCTCTTTCCCTTTATCTTTTTGTTCTCTGTATGGAGCGGTTGTCGCATAGAATTGATCAAGCGTTTAATAGTGGTGAATGGAAAGCCATTCGAATTAAAAAGGATGGTCCTGCTCTCACACATCTCTTTTTTGCAGATGATCTGCTCCTTTTCGCAGAAGCTGAGACTAGACAGATGTAACACCCTACCCTATACGTATTACCTAATCATATTGTTCATACAATTGCAGCGGAATTAATCTCGGGTGTTACATTAATTATCAAAATTTACCCAAATAAAATTTCGACATGAATTACTCGCTTAATGGGCTAACAGTTCTTCCATCTAATCCTGCAAAATAATTCATCTAAATCCATGCATTCATAGATAAACATATACACTCACTGCCATATGCATTGGCTTTTCATAGCCATAGTCACAGTTTCATGTTACACAACTGCATACTATACTGATACATGCCATAATCGTCACAACTTACATAATTACACAAATATACACATATCATCAACTTTCCACAACTGTGGATATCTCACACTACATCAAAAGCTAGTATGCACATGAAAAACGTTCTCAAAACATTTTACAAAAAGGTGTGGATCACTGGCCAAAATCCCGAGTAGTAGTCCAAGCACAGAATAGTTGAAGACCATACCTCATCTTGCCTTCAACTCTTGCTCAGCTCCCACCTATACAATTATCTACTGCTGCTGATGACGATGATCTGCTTACACATGGCATAAGCAGAGAAAAAGGATAAAGAGGGTCAGCTCATAGCTGAGTGAGATAATCATAGCATCGTGAGTTCATTACAGAGCATACCCCTACCATACATCTAGCAAACAAGCCCAAGCACTAGGATCAGACCTCAGCCATCCGACATCCCAATAGGCAAAAGACTCAACCACATTGACTTATGCATATGCGTCTTATCATGTTTTACTTATAGGCGCCTGGCTACTCCCATGCTAATAACTCTCCGGGAAACATACCCCACATCCCGTCGGATGTAGTCATACATACCCCAACATCCCGTCGGATGTGGTCATACATACCCCACACCACTATGGGTGTAGTCATACCCCGACACCGCTCTGGGTGTGGTCATATCTCGTAAGAATTCTTCAGTCACCGCCACATGAGAGGTGTGACTATCATACATATCATAATAGAGTAATAGCATAGGGAGCCCTAATTACTATGTAGTTGACCATGAGACCAAAGTACTCTTACTTAATCTCCTTATACATGATCCATATCTCATGTTGCTTAATCATAATTCGTTCTTGCACATGTACTTGACCTGGCCACAATTGGCTCAACATAGGTAAATCAGGAGTCGTATAATTGCACTTCCTCGGGATGAACCCTCATGCAAGTCATCCTCCTTAAACATCATAATATCACCCTGGGAAGTTTATTCCCCCACTTATGGATCCAAATACAACCATAATATCACATCATGTCAAAACACCTTATCGAACAACCAGGAAGTCATATCAACAGTTAAGCCACAAATGGCAACATGTATGCAATCATCAACATAAACAAGGTCCATATCGGCTAGGGCAAGTCAATAATATCATACAGCAATCCAGGGTTCAACATATAGCACAAAAGTTCATACACCCCTAATCATGCCATTCTAGTTCACCTAGATCAATTCTAAGCATCAATATAATTATCGTGATACGACAAACCCGGTATGCCGTGCTATTCCCTCACCAGTTCTGGTCGTTCAAACACCGATTCTAGCCTCCCATACTAAAACGTCAATTTCACCAACGAACCCCGAATTAAAATCCGAGACCGTCCTAATATCCCCTGCAGTATCCCCGTCAATATTAGTTCTAGGCTCCGGGTCAAATTCTCGATAAAAATGCATCAAACCCTGGCCGGAGCTAAATTCAGCTATTTGGACCCCGGCCTAAATAATAGCCGAAATTCAGGGATTAGAACTAGAGGATTGATTACCTCGTTGCAGGAAGCTCGTATATGAAATTTGGGCTTAATCCGACTTCCGGATACTCCGAAACCCTAATTTGGCTTATCGGGAATTCAAGAAATTCCTGAACCAAAAACTCGTTTTAAAGCTCTAAATCGATAAATCACGATGAATAGATGAATTAGGCATTACTTACGAGATTTTTGGATCGTTAGGGCTCAAGAATTGAGCTTTGGAAATTCTCCCGAG